ACTGGAAAAAAAAAGTCTTGAAAATGTCAGGTGGTTTTCACAGGAACACACAGAGAAATAGAAATACTCCATCCATCCATCCATCCATCCATCCATCCATCCATCCATCCATCCATCCATTATCTTTCGCTTATCCAGGGTCGGTTTGTGGAGCAGGTCATCCCAGACTTCCCTCCCCCCGACGACGCTTTCCAGCTCTTCCTGGGGTATCCCGAGGCATTCCCAGGCCAACCGAGAGATATAATCCCTCCAGCGTGTTCTGGGTCTGCCCCGGGGTCTCCTACCAGCTGGATGTGTTCGGAAGACCTCCAGAGGAAGCCTCCCCGGAGGCATCCGAACCAGATGTCCATTCCACCTCAACTGGCTCCTTTCGACGCGAAGGAGCAGCAGCTCTACTCCAAGCTCCCTCCGGATGTCCGAGCTCCTCACCCTATCTCAAAGGCTGAGCCCAGCCACCCTGTGAAGGAAGCTCATTTCAGCTGCTTGTATCCACAATCTCGTTCTTTCGGTCACGACCCAAAGCTCGTGACCATAGGTGAGGGTTGGAATGTAGATGGACTGGTAAATCGAGAGCTTCGCCTTGCGGCTCAGCTCTCTCTTCACCACGACAGTCTGGTACAGCACCCACATTACTGCTGACACTGCACCGAGCCACTTGTCCATCTTACGCTCCATTTTCCCATCACTCGTGAACAAGATCCCAAGATACTTAAACTCCCTCGCTTGAGGAAGCAACTGCCCCCCCACCCGGAGGTGGCAATCCACCAATTTCCGGCAGAGAACCATGGCCTCAGACTTGGAGGTACTGATCCGCATCCCCGCCGCTTCGCACTCGGCTGCAAACCGCTCCAGTGCGTGCTGAAGGTCACGGTCTGATGAAGCCAACAGTATCACATCATCTGCAAAAAGCAGAGACGTGATCCTGAAGTCCCCAAACCAGACACCCTCCTCACCCTGACTGCGCCTTGAGATCCTGTCCATGAAAACCACAAACAGGATCGTGGACGAGGGGCATCCCTGGCGGAGTCCAACACCCACTGGGAACGTGTTCGACTTATTGCCGAGAATGCGGACACAGCTCGCACTTTGGTTGTACAGGGACCGAATGGCTCATAGCAGTGAGCCTGGTACCCGATATTCCCTCAGTACCCCCCACAGAGTCCCTTCGGGAACATGGTCATAGGCCTTCTCCAGATCCACAAAGCACATGTGGACTGGCAAGTCGAATTCCAATGCCCCACTCAGCAGCTCAGCAGTAAAGAGCTGGTCCACTGTCCCACGACCAGGAGGGAATCCACATTGCTCCTCCTGAATCCGAGGTTAGATAATTGGCTGGAGTCTCCTTTCCAGCACCCTAGAGTAAACTTTGCCATGGAGGCT